AGAGAAAGTGGACTGTGTAAGTCTGTGGCCGTTAGAGGAACACTGTGTCCTCTTAGCCATAATCCCGCTGGTTTTTACTGCTGAAGTTATGGGGACTTCTCTTCCCAGTTCTGGAATCTGGATCAAGGGTCTGGTATAGGGCTGGGATCTCTTGCTCCTCACGGGAGGCCTCTGCAGCCACAATACCTCTTCCGATTAAAAAAATGGGGCGTCAGACCAGACCAATTCTGCACCTCTGCCCTCCAGTCTCAGTGTGCTTTCTTCCTTACTTTTCTAGTTGTAGGACTTCCATTCAGCCAGATTTCAGGTGGTTCTGAATGATGGTTCTGTATTTTAGTTGTAATTTTGATTGTGGGAGGCAACAAGTACCAATGTTTACCTACCCTGCCATCTTGGTTCTCCCCCTAAATTTGGAACCCCTTTCTTAATTATTTAAATAAATGTGGATAGTGATGGAAATATTTGTGCTTTTTTTTTTTTTTTTAAGGTATTGCCATCAGAGAGTCGGCAAAGGTAGTTGACCAAGCACAAAGGAAGGTGTTGAGGGGCGTGGATGACCTGGACTTTTTCATTGGGGATGAAGCCATCGATAAACCCACATACGCCACCAAGGTGAGCCCAGATGGGAATGGCTTTAGTGAGTAGCCAGGACGAGCTGCAGAATGAACCATGCAGAATGGCAGGTTATCTAGAAAGTGTGCTTGTGAGTTGAATGTGTTTTTATCCTTACGTTTGTAAAGAGGTTTTGTTGTTTTGGATGTGGGGGAGTGATTGGATTTTCAGAGCCCTGGGACGCAATCTGGACTCAGGCTTGCATGTGAAGGCAGGTTCTGCTGAGATGGAAAATCACAGGTTGACTGAATGACCTGTCAGATATGGAAAGTTGCAGATTGATTAATTAAAGAGAAGCACTAAAATTATTTAAGTAGACGTTTGTTCTAAAAAACCCCCAAAACAAAACCTCCCAGTCGAATGGTATGGTGGATTAGCTGCACTTTGCACCTGCCACTCCACTGTTAAGACGTTCTTTGTCGTTAGAAATGGGTGGAGTTAGAGTATAAACAGTTCCATAACAGTCTTTCTGTTAAGGTGTCTGTCTTTTCTCTATGGGACTAACATTCACTTCATGCAAAGGGGCCCTTGATTCTGTAGTTGCTCAGTCTCCCCCGGCCTTGTCGTTAGAGTTGCTCTCACTGATGTGAACCGAGGCTTGACATACTTGGTTTCTCTTGGGTTAGTGGCCAATAAGACACGGAATAATCGAAGACTGGGATCTTATGGAAAGGTTCATGGAACATGTGATTTTTAAATATCTTCGAGCTGAACCTGAGGATCATTATTTCCTAATGGTGAGTAACTGGAACTAAGAGGGATATAGCTCTGTAAATTCCCGAGTGCTTGCATTTAACCAGTTAACTGCCATGCGTCCAAAGCAGGAACCATCCCCACACACCACGATATTTTGAATTTAATTTAAAAAGGTCTGCTGCTTGCGTCTGTACGACGCTTATGGCGTACAAATGGTTAAACTCAAGATAGTCTTCCCTGGGGAGTCTTTATTTCTGCTAAAGCGACTTATATGAATCAGGGTGCTTTTTTGGGCAAATAATGGAAGGGTCAGCAAAAATGTCTCATGCCAGAAAGGGCTCATTATCTCACTGAACAGGCAGCGTAGAGTCGGGTGGTTCCAGGGCAGGTCATCTCAGCCGCTCAGTGACAGAAGCGAGGGCCGGCCCAGTGCGCCAGCTGGGCCTCCTGTGTGGTTCCCCTGAGGCCCAGCCTGCCAGGTTCCATGTCTTGGTATCTGTACTTTCAGAGAGAGGCTCACCTTTTAAGATTCCCAGAAACCTTTCCAGCAGATTGGCCCACCATCCATTCCAACCTGGGGATGGAATTACCTTGACAGGTTTATAGTAATCAGGATTCTCTCCCTGGGGCTGGGAGAGGACCCTCTCTGATCACCTGTCCTGGGAGGGTAGGGACCTAAACAGGCCTCCAACAGCCTGGGAGGTGGAGGGAGGGATTGGTTGGGTAGGAAACAGTTAGTTGTGTACTTAGATAGCCCCGTGAAGTAACTGGGTGGCTGTGATCTTTTGCTTCTTACAACAGAAGAAACCG